TACCTCTATCAACTCCTCTCATCATAGGCAAGACCCTTCGTTTTCCTGTGTTTTGATGCTGTTGAGACAGGCTTTCTCACAAGAGGATGTGTTTGGAGCTGGTCCTTCTGAAAGGGAGCATTATTGTGGCAGTGGGAATCTGTGGGTTGTTTGTAAAGAGGAAATATTTTTTAAACTGTACTGCAATTATATCCTGCTGTCAAATATTTTAGTGGTATGTAATATAGTGTGCCTTTAATCTAAAGCCTTAAGCTGAACATAAAAACCAGTACTACAGAATGTTATATATTTGTGAAATACGGGGCATGCTCTTTAAAACTCTAAATTATTTCCTAAATAATTTAGGAAATTTTTCTCATTCATATGGTTTTTTCCCTACAACCACAGTCTGTTTCCAAGGATATCCAATTGTCAGGATGTAATTTGGTTGTCTTTGGGGCTTTAACATTGATTTCCATGAACTTTTCCCAGCTAAATTGCCTATTTTTATTTACCACTTTTGGGATTGATATAAAACTTTTCCCGTTTTTTTTTTTTTCACTTATTTTTCCCGTTTATTTTTATTACTGAGTTAGAGGAAAACTGTGAATATGAAATATGAATGTCTTGGGCTTTAAAAAATTCATGTTTTATTTTAAATATTCTAATATGCCTAAAAATAAGACAGATAGGTAAAACTAATTAAATAGCAACTACACTGTTCTTCAAGGCTTCCCAGAAGCTAATTTATAGCTGAGGAGGGTTGTGAATGAAGTTCAGCAATATCATTTTGTTCTATTAATCAGGCACTAATGAGTTTTGGAGGCTGTCATAATTGGTTAGTAAATTTCCTACGGTGTAACTGAAAATTTTCCTGTTTATTACCAGATCCTAGAACCCTATCGATATTGTCTCTGCTGTGTAAATAGCTCTGAGTAGTGCAATATTGCTTATAGGGTTTTGGTGTTTGGAAAGAACAATGGGCAGGTTGCAGAAACAATGTAGCTGAAACTGAAGCAACAGTTGTTTTCCTTTAGGAATAAAATAGTAGAAGCTAGTTTTTAATACAGACATTAAAATCTGAAACTCAAATGTCAAACTTTTATATATTAGAATAAACACTTTTCTTACTTTTAACATTTTGATAAATTAAGCCTTGTTTTATTGTAGTGTAATGAAATAATAGAATTTTATTGTTGGAAGGGAGTAGATTTCCAACTCTCTCATTTAATAGGAGAGACTCAGAGGGACAGAAGATACTGGCGGCCACATAACTGTTAGTGAGACCAGGGCTAGAATTTCTGCCACGGATCTCAGTCCTCTTATTTTCTTTTTTTCAGTACCATACTAGCAGGATGTATTCAGAGAGAATTTTTTTAATGGACTAAGTGCAGATTTAAAACAAAAAAACCCCCAGCTTTCCATTTAATGTTGGATAAAGTCTTTACATCCCCCCCCCCCCCCCATCTATGTGACTCTCTTTGGCTTTGACGTCATGGATAACTTTAGTCTAACTACATAAAAACAAGAGTAATGAAAATAGAAGTAGAGGCAAGTCACTTAGACTGTTTGCTTCATTTATAAAATGAAGGGTTCAGATGAGATAATCTTCATTGTTTTTCTGTTTCTCAACATTGCATTGACATCCTTTTTCCTTTTTCTCCCCCACTTAATCTATAGCCCGGACGTCCCTTGTGGCTCATCTGGTAAAGAATCCGCCCGCAATGCGGGAGACCTGGGTTTGATCCCTGGGTTGGGAAGATCCCCTGGAAAAGGGAAGGGCTACCCACTCCAGTATTCTGGCCTGGAGAATTCCATGGACTATACAGAGTCTGACACGACTGAGCAACTTTCACTTCACAAGCCATAGTCCACTGATTTGCTAATAAGTAAATACTTCCCCTAGGTATTATCACAAAATATTCCTTCAGCTCTTCAAGGAGGGTAACATTCTACTCTCAAACCATTGTTTTTCCTATATTTTAGAAAGAGGTTTTGGACTTAGCTGACAGTCCAGTGGTGAAGGTCCACGCTTCCACTGCAGGGGGCACTGGTTCTACCCCTGGTAGACCCCACATTCACATGCCATAAGGCATGACCAAAAACCAAAACAAAAGTTTTTAAATTGTGGTTAAATACATATAACATAAAATTTACCATTTTAACCACTTAAAATGTGGACTCAAAATAGAACTCAGCAGCCTTATGTGCATTCTCATTGTGCAACCATCGCCGCCATCCACCTCCAGAGCTTCATCAATGCTAAACAAACTCTGCACATGTAAACAGTGACCCCCATTCCCTGCACCCCCTGACTTAAAAAATCTGTTTAAAATTCTGTTTGTTCTCTGAAATATTTTCCAAATAGAAGTATGGGCATGTTACTTAAAGGGGAAATGGAAAAAAATTTTAAAGACTTTTTGGAAGCAGTGATGTACATATAAATGCAGCAGTTGTATGAAAGTGGGAAGTCCTGAATTTGAGCATTTGTCAATTTTCCTGTCGTGTATTTTTCCACCCTGTCTGATTTCAGGTTACCAGCATGATGTCACAGAAAATGAGCTGGAAAGACTTGCAGTAGTAGCATGTGATATATTTCTACTCTATAGGTAGGATAGGCCTCAAGAGCATAGATGAGTAAAATACAATAAAACTAGGCAATTGTGGGGTTTGTGTATATATTTGTTTTCAATAATTTAATTGTACATTTAATAATTTAATTTTTAGTGATGCTCCTGTTTAACAATTGGCTTACAAGAATTTATAAAAATTTAGCTGGCTCCATCATGCCATTGATTGGAAGCATACTCTTTTGTATCTTATTAAAATATAAATTACTTAAAAGAAGGAACACTTATTTTAGGTACTATTTGGTGGTTTTTAGTAACTTGTGGACCCCCAGGTATTATATGAAGCTATAGCTGAAACCACTCTCTTGAGAAGTCTTTGTAAAATGGACTATGGGATTATGCCAGTTAAATGTAAGCAGAGCTAAACTGTCAAGTTGAAAAAATATAGGTTTAAGAATACCAGGTTAAGGGCTTCTAGAATAGAGATTCTATTTTTAAGGTAGCCCTGGAGTGACAAATCCCATAATCTTAAGAATTTTGTAGTAACTATTAGGTTAGTTTAAAATACTAGTTTTAAAAAGTTTTATTTAAAGTTATGCTTTAGAATGTTGTATAAGACCTCAAATTATACATAAAGCTATAGAATTGTGGTCTATTCCAGTAATTAAATCAGGTTTTCAGTGCTTAGAGCCTTTGCTTAATTGATTTGTCATCCTCCCACTGTTCTGCCCCTACTCTCCATCCACGTGTAAAGGAAAAGTTAATTTTGGAGCATATTTTAACATGGGAAATTATACCAACAGGATTTTATTTACATATATACATATATAGTAATTATTAGTATGCTTAGACCCACATGTGGACTCACATGCTTAGTGACTTAGTGAAGTCGCTCAGTCATGTCCGACTCTTTGCAACCCCATGGACTGTAGCCCACCAGGCTCCTCTGTCCATGGAATTTTCCAGGCAAGAGTACTGGAGTGGGTTGCCATTTCCTTCTCCAGGGGATCTTCCCGACCCAGGGATCGAACCCTGGTCTCCCGCATTGCAGGCAGATGCTTTACCATCTCAGCCACCAGGGAAACCCATTAGTATGCTTAAAGAAGTCTAATTATTGATAGATTGAATCATGGCAGCTAATGTAACAAGCATATGAGGCAAATGAAATGCCTCCATTTTTGGAAAACATTTTAAATACTTTTTAGACAAAGAACTAATACATTTGTTTTTCTGACTCAGCAACTCCTTGATGTTAGAGATGCAAATCAGATACTGATTCTTGGGAAATTTTTTAAAACGAAACTGACTTTTTTTTCTTCTATTTCTACTCCAAAAGTTTTTAGTTATAAAAATAGAATGTTATTAATTGAAAAGTTTTCTGACCAAATTTAGGCCAATGATGAGAAATTATTAGTGATGGAAGATTTAGTTTCTCTCTTTCTGAACTTTGTTCAATAATGACAGCTTCTGACTTGCGAAGCATTTTAACTTCTGAGAACCTTTTTTTCTTATTCTACATTCCAAAGTAGAATGCTTGGTTTACTTTTTGTATAATGAAAATATCTGTATAGCACTTCTTATTAGATCTGAGAACTACTTTTTGATGATTTTACCTTTCCCATTAAGGCTTTACATTTTCAAGAAGCAATCTTTAGTCCAGAGCTTAAGTTGACAGAAAGGTCTGAACTGTCTCCCCAAAGTAGTCTCCTCAGATGTGGGCTAGGAATGGGAGACCTTCCCTGAGGAAATCACGTTTTACCTTTCACAGTAAATCAAAGGACCATGGTTGTTTCCCTGATAAATTCAAGGTAGTACTTGCTTTAAGATCTTGTAAAAGATGTAGAATTCCCCCAAATTAAGAATAATTTGTAGATTATGTCACATTCAGAGATAAACCACTTTTAACAATGATGTATATGCTTCCCAACTTTTCCATATGAACACACATGTATTTTACAGCCTATGGCAGTTTTCCCCCTTTTTCTCCCTTAGAAGTTTACTGCAGATCAAGATTCCACGCTAGTACCCAGGTTAAATAAATTGTGGTTATTTGGCCTGCTGTGCCATTATTATAGCGTATGTAGCTTTTCTTGTATAACTTATGGCTCTTTAAGCCTTCTAGTCTTGGCCTGTGTGGCACATACTTATAGTTCTTTGGTTAATGGGGTTGTAGATTGTGTTAACAACCGGAGTATCCCTAAAAATAAATTTGTTCTGTGCTTTAACTTGAAACCACATATCCTTCCAGAGGTAGAAAAACTGCCTAATTGATGAGTGTGGTGGTAACCTTAGGTAATTCCTGAAGCCATTGTTAGTTTTTACTATTACCCTATTTTCAAAATTAGTATATATAATATTAAAAATATAAAGAGAAAAGAAAGAATAGCTATAGTATCATGTTTTGTGAAATGTCTTGTGGTTTGTGAACTAATGATCTGTGCTGATCTTTAGTTCCAGAAAGCTGACTCTGATCTGGACTACATTCAGTACAGGCTGGAATATGAAATCAAGACTAATTATCCTGATTCAGCAGGCAAGGTAATCTGCAAAAGAAATATATTTTTAACAGAATATTTTATTAAAAGATTTCCTGATGTATTTCTAATAGTAGAGTATAACAGTTACATTATTAAGGATTACATTCATAGAATCCTTTTGTGTTGGAAGTTTGGTCACAGAATATTGGAGAGATTATACCCATCGTAAAGGAAATTTGTGGCTCCTCTTTTTTTTTTTAAACTTTTAACAGGAATTATTGAGTCTAGATGTGTAAACAACTGTGGAGGCCTCTGAAATTGTGAAAGAATAACCTTTAGGGCAATGGTTAAATAAGAGGGGAGAAATCCTAGCAGTCATGATATTCTCTGAGGAAGATGATGATACACTATTAAATTTGTTACATGGACTGTGACTTTTATATAAAATTATATACATAGTTATTCTAAATTTAGATTGATTAGAAATCCTATCTGTTTATAAGTCATAAAGTTATAACAACATGTACACATGCCTATAGAGATAAAGCAATTTTTAAACCTTGTCTGTTAACATTAATTTAGCATGTAAAATATTAATTTTTCACTTTATGGTACTCTTTTTTTCTCCTATAGCACAGCTAGCAGATAAGAAATATCATACTTTACTGTTTTTTAAAAAAGTTATACAATAAAAATTTCGGGGGAACTGTGTAAAAGTTCAAATTAAAATAAGATTTTGTGTACAATTGGGAAAGCACTGTGAATGTTCAGTTCACTGCTCCCATGGAACACTGGAATGCCAGGCTTCTCTAGGAGCACAGCTTTGCCTGTCCTGCCTCCTTAACTGACTTGACTGTGTCTTTTCCCCTTTTCTCTCTCACTGAAGAAAACCAACCCGTTCTCGTCAAGGGTGCCCCGATTAATTGGCCAAAGCACTCATCTGAGTCAGTGTATCTCAAGTACTATCTGGAAGACATTCCTTGTGGGGCTTCCACTTTTCTCCCACCTTCTATCTCTCATTTTTATCACATTTCCAGTTGTTTTATTCTTCTACAACTTTTTTTTAAAAACAGCTTTATTGAGCTATAATTCACATACCACAGAATTCACTCTTTTAAAGTAGATAATTGAGTGGTTTTTAGTATGCTTAGTTTATTGTAATTTTTTAGCAGTTTAGTATATTGTATGGCCATCATCACAGTAAATATTTGAGTATTTTCATAACCTCAAAAAGAAACCCATGCCCATTAGCTGTTTCTCCCCATTAACAACCACTTCCCCCTCCCCTGGCCAGCTTCCAGCAACTACTAATCTACTTCCTGTCTCTATACTCCACAGATTTGCTCTCTGAACATTTCATATAAATGGAATCACACAATATGTGGCCTTTTATATCTGGTTTAGCATTTTTTTTTAAAAAAGTGAAATATAGTTGATTTACAGTTTTTCAGGTGGAGAGCAAAGTGATTCAGTTATACATGCACACAAAAATATGTGTCTGTGTGTATATATATTTATCAAATTCTTTTCCATTATAGGTTATTATAAGATACCGAGTATAGTTCCCTGTGCTATACAGTTGATCCTGTTGTTTATTTTATACATAATAGTCAGTCAGTGAGTTCAGTCGCTTAGTCGTGTCCAACTCTTTGTGACCCCATGGACTGCAGCACGCCAGGCTTCCCTATCCATCACCAGCTCCTGGAGCTTGCTCAAACTCATGTCCATAGCATCAGTGATGCCATCCAACCATCTCATCTTCTGTCATCCCCTTTTCCTCCTCCTGCCTTCTATCTTTTCCAGCATCAGGGTCTTAGCCAGTGAGTCAGTTCTTCGCATCAGGTGGCCAAAGTACTGGAGTTTCAGCTTCAGCATCAGTCAGTCCTTTCAATGAATATTCAGGACTGATTTCCTTAAGGACTGACTGGTTTGATCTTGCAGTCCAAGGGACTCTCACGAGTCTTCTTCAACACCACAGTTCAAAAGCATCAATTCTTTGGCGTTCAGCTTTCTTTATAGTCCAACTCTCATGTCCATACAGCAAAGTGATGTCTCTGCTTTTTAATATGCTGTCTAGGTTGGTCATCGCTTTTCTTCCAAGGAGCAAGCGTCTTTTAATTTTGTGGCTGCAGTCACCATTTGCAGTGATTTTGGAGCCCAAGAAAATAAAGTCTTTCACTGTTTCCATTGTTTCCCCATCTATTTGCCATGAAGTGATGGGACCGGATGCCATGATCTTAGTTTTTTGAATGTTGAATTTTAAGCCAACTTTTTCACTCTCCTCTTTCACTTTCATCAAGAGGAGCTTTAGTTCTTCACTTTCTCCCATAAGGGTGGTATCATCTGCTTATCTGAGGTTATTGATATTTCTGCCTGCAGTCTTGATTCCAGCTTGTGCTTCATCCAGCCCAGCATTTCTCATGATGTACCCTGCAAATAAGTTAAATAAGCAGGGTGACAATATACAGCCTTGAAGTACTCCTTTCCCGATTTGGAACCTGTCTGTTCCATGTCTGGTTTTAACTGTTGCTTCTTGACCTGCATACAAATTTCTCACGAGGCAGGTAATGTGGTCTGGTATTCCCATCTCTGTAAGAATTTTGCACAGTGTGTTGTGATCCACACAGCCAAAGGCTTTGGTGTAGTCAATAAAGCAGAAGTAGATGTTTTTCTGGAACTCTTGCTTTTTCGATGATCCAGCGGATGTTGGCAATTTGATCTCTGATTCCTCTGCCTTTTCTAAATCCAGCTTGAACATCTGGAAGTTCATGGTTCACGTACTGTAGAATATATAATACATACATAATAGTATGTATCTGTTAATCCCAAATTCCCGGTTTATTCTTCTCTCACCCCATTTCGTCTTTAGTAAGCATAAATTGATTATCCACATCTGTGAGTCTGTTTCTGTTTTGTAAATAACTTCATTTGTATTGTTTTTCTTTAAGATTCCACATGTAAGTGATATTGTATGATATTTGTCTTTCTCTTTATGAGTTCACTTAGTGTGAAAATCTATATAGATCCATCCATGTTGCTGCAGATGGCATTATTTCATTCTTTTTTATAGATGAGTAGTAGTCCATTGTATACATATATCACATCTTTATCCATTCATCTGTGGATGGACATTTAGGTTGCTTTTATGTCTTGGCTATTGTAAATAATCAGTGAATATTGGGGTGCATTTATCTTTTCAAATTGGAGTTTTCTCCAGATATACACCCAGGAGTAGGATTGCTAGATTATATAGTAACTCTATTTTTAGTTCTTTGAGGAACTTCCGTACTGTTCTCCATAGTGGCTACACCAATTTACATTCCTACCAACAGTGTAGGAGGGTCTTTTCTCTCCACATCCTCTCCAGCATTTATTATTTATGGATTTTTAATGATGGCCATTCTAAACAGTGTGAGGTGATACCTTGTTGTAGTTTCAATTTGCATTTCTCTAATAATTAGTGATATGGAGCATCTTTTCATGTGCCTCTTGGCCATCTGTATGTCTTCTTTGCAGAAATGTCTATTTATGTCTTCTGCCTATTTTTTTGACTGGGTTTTTGTTTGATATTGAGTTGTATGAGTTGTTTATGTATCTTGGCAATAATTAAGCCCTTGTTGGTCCCATTGTTTGCAAATATTTTCTCCCATCCTATAGATTGTCTTTTTGTTTTATGATTTCCTTTGCTGTACAAAAGCTAATAAGTTTGAGTACGTACCATTTGTTTATTTCTGCTTTTATTTCCACTGCCTTGGGAGACTGACCTAAGAAAACAGTGGTGTGATTTATGTCAGAGAATGGTTTGCCTCCATTCTCTTCTAGGAGTTTTATGGTGTCATGTCTTATGTTTAAGTCTAAGCCATTTTGAGTTTATTTTTGTGTATGGTGTGAGGGAGTGTTCTAAGTTCATTGATTTACACGTTCTAAGTTCATTGATTTACACGCAGCTGTCCAGCTTTCCCAGCACCACTTGCTGAAGAGACTGTCTTTTCTCCATTTTATACCACATGTTCTTTATCGACTCATCTACTGATGGATGTTTACGTTGCTGCCATGTCTTGACTATTGTAAACAGTGCTGCTATGAACATTGGGGTGCATGTATCTTTTCAAATTAGAGTTTTCATCTTTTCTGGATATCACTTAGCATGTTTTAAAGGTTCATCCTGGCTGTAGCATGAATCAGTACTTCATTCCTTTTTACTGCTGAATAATATTTCGTTGTATGGCCATACCACATTTTCTTATTTATTTGATCAGTTAATATCAGTTTGGTTGTTTCCTTTGGCTGTTATGATCATATTCCTATAAACATTCATTACAAGTTTTTGTGTGGATGTTTGCTTTCATTTCACTTGGGTATATACCTAAGAGTAGAATTCCTGGGCACATGGTAACCCTATGTTTAATATTTGGAGGAACTACTACATTGTCTTCCAAAGCAGTTGTACTATTATGCATTCTCAGTTTTTTGGGTTTTTTAAAAAAAGTTGTAAAATATGTAAGATAAAAATTTAAAATATGTAAGATAAAATTTTAAAATATGTAAGATAAAATTATAAAATATATAAGATAAAATTCACCATTTTTTCCATTTTAAAGTGTGCAGTTCCATGGTTTTAGTACATTTACATCATTGTGCAGCTATCACCACCATCCATTTCCAGAACTTGATTTCATCTTTCCAAATAGAAACTGCATCCATTAAATAATAACTCCCCATTTCCTCCTCTTCCCAATCCCTGGCAACTACCATTCTACCTTCTGTCTCTGTGAACTTTATTACTCTAGTTACCTCATATACACAATTTTCCAGACTACACATTTGGTGTCATCTGTTATTTCTTTGCCCCTATCAAAGGTACTACTAAGTTTTCTTAACTTTTCTTTAATAGTATCTCTTTTCTGTCCTTTTCCTACTTCTACTGCTCATGCTGTAGGTCTTGATCACTATTTGTAGAATTAACAGTCTTTAAAGTAGGTTTTTTGTTCTGATTCATTTGTGTTTAGAATTATCTTTATTTATTATTTCCATCTTCAAAAGCTTAGCAAAAAACCTCCAAGGAAGAAAGGAGTAGAGGGCCATGAACTGAGCCTCTGCCTGTAGCCATGAGGTAGGGTCCACACAAAGGAAATATTTGAAGAGTGAGACGATAATCAAGATGGTATGCTGCTGCTGCTGCTGCTAAGTCGCTTCAGTCGTGTCCAACTCTGTGTGACCCCATAGACGGCAACCCACCAGGCTCCCCCGTCCCTGGGATTCTCCAGGCAAGAACACTGGAGTGGGTTGCTATTTCCTTCTCCAATGCATGAAAGTGAAAAGTGAAAGTGAAGTCGCTCAGTCGTGTCTGACGCTTCGTGACCCCATGGACTGCAGCCTACCAGGCTCCTCCGTCCATGGGATTTTCCAGGCAAGAGTACTGGAGTGGGTCGTTATTGCCTTCAATCAAGATAGTATAGTTCTGTGGAAATCAAGAGTTCATTTTAAGAAGACTAGAATAGGAAGGAAATAAGGAGAGGCAAAAAGAGGGATATCAAAATTATAAGGCAAGTCTGACTTTTTGATTATTATAGGGTGTGGAAAGAAGGTAACCCTCCTAACTATTGGTGAGAATGTGAATTGGTACAGTCACTATGGAGAACAGTATGGAGGTTCCTTAATAAACTAAGACTAGATCTCCCATATGACCCTGCAATCCCACTGCTGGGCGTATGTCCAGAGAAAAACATAATCCAAAAGGATACATGTACCCCAGGGTTCATTGCAGCACTGTTTACAATAGTCAAGACAGAAGCAACCAAAATGCCCATGGACAGAGGAATGGATAAAGAAGATATGGTACATATATACAATAGAATATTACTCGGCCATCAAAAAGAATGAAATAATGCTATTTGCAGCAACATGGATGGACATAGATTGTCGTATTGAGGGAAGTCAGTCAGACAGAGAAGAAATATCCGATGACATCCCTTATATATGGAATCTAAAAAGACATGATATAAGTGAACTTATTTACAAAACATAAACAGATACACAGACTCAGAGAACAAACTTATGGTTGCCAAGGGGAAGGATGGGCGGAAGGGATAGTCGGGGAGTTTGGAATGGATAACCAACAAGGACCTCCTGTATAGCACATGAAACTCAGTCAATGTTATGTGTCAGGCTGGATGGTGGGGGTGTGTGTGTGGGGGGGGCGCTTGGGGGGAGAATGGATACATGTATATATATGACTGAATCCCTTCAGTCATGTATGACTGTTCATCTGAAATTGTCACAACATTGTTAATTGGCTGTACCCCAATAGAAAATAAAACGTTTAAAAAGTTTATAGGACAAGTCTGACTTTTTGATTGTTTACAATAATTTGGCAAAGGATTGCAGTCTATGGGCTATTAAACTGAGGAAGTATATTATTATAGGACCTAGAAGGTTAGTGGCAAATGGAGTGAGAAAAATGACACTGGTTTTGAAACAAGAGTCAAGAGGAGTTATTTTCCCCTCAGTGTAGGGACAATCTATGTATATTTGAAGTCTGTATAAAGGGAGATAAGAATAGGTTATTTAAATATAGGAATTTTAAGGTTCTGGAGGATATGGGGAGGAGACAATAATAGTAGTAGTGTTAGGAGCTGAGTAAGGATCAGAGTAGGTGTTTTCATTTTCAGGTGAAAGGGCAGGAATAGAAACTCCCAGGTGTTTTCTGTCTTCTCAGTAAAGTAGTTGGGGTGAGATCTTGTGCCAAGAATGAGTGGATGGGAACTGGTAGGAATGGAGAAAGTTTGGAATACCTAGAGTTGGAGAGTTTGCCAAAGAACCACGAAAGAATGAGAAGAATTATTAAGTGGCAGAAATGTCTCTTTTGAACTGTCACAGTTGAAATGTCTTTTATGGAATAGTGGTTATTTACATTGAAAATAAATTTGGAAAATTAATATAATTTATAAATACAGTTGCTTGAGTTGGCATGCATTTTGTATAGTGAGGTGTGCCTTGAATTGGTGCTTATACATACTTTAGCCCCATGACAGTGTATTGAAGAATTTTATGATAAGTGGTTTCAAGTTGTCTTTTCTATAAGAGCAAATCAAAATAGTTCCTTTAATCACCTTCTGAATAACATTTAGAATTGTATCTTAGAAGTACTGTGTAATTATTATGAACTGTACATCAAATATTATGTATCTAATGTAACATTATTTGCTGTTTAATATTGCTATTGTGTGTGTGTGTATGTGAGAAGGGTTATTTCTGTACCTAGGCTTTAAATTCCTTGAGAATAGTATCTAGGTCTTATACTTCTCTTTCTTCCCCTCCTCCCATTCTCTGTCACACAGTTGCATAGTTTTTTATAGTGTTCTATTAAATGGATGATAGCATGTGTTGTATGTATTTTAATTCTTAAAAGAAGCTTTATTTTTCCTTTCCAGATTTAATATATACTAATTTTTTCCTAATGTAGAAAAATCCAGTTACACTTTTAAAGGAATTGTCAGCAATAAAGTCTCGATATCAGACTTTGCATGTTCGCTTTAAACCAATTTCTGTGGAGCAGAAAGAGACTAAAAGCCGCATTTGTGCTACTTTCAATAAGACTATGACCTTGATACAAGAACTGCAGAAGGAAACAGACCTGGAGGTAATGCTTTCTGTGATTGGCTGGATTTGTAGAATTTTAATTCTGAATTTCTCACTGAAAGATAAATCCCCAGTAACTCTCATTTTGAACTTCAGCAGTGTGAACTATTGATAAAGAATGAGATTTTCTTGATTCCCTGAAGTATAAGATCTCTTATCTCCTTTTATTTTAAAATGAGCATGTGGACTTGACATGGTTAGTGAAGGGGCATGCTTTCTTGGATTATGTAGCAACAGCAGAAGAAAAAACTTGCTAACACTTATTAAATCTACCAGTTCTGCTGCTCTCTATAAGAACTAATGAGACTGAGAAATCTAGAAAGCATCTATACCAGTGACTATTTTTTCATTCTCCTTTTCAGTTGGGATGATTAGCTTGGGTAGGCCTAACCTTCATTCCTGGTCTTTCATTCTCCAACCTCTTCTCACCTAGTATAAGAATCTTTCTAATTGTGATCCTCTGTCACTGATGTGTAAAACTCTACAGATATGTTGGAGTAGGAAAAAGAATATGAGCTGCTAACCTAGGCACTAAGATCTTGAACAGCCAATTGAAGAGATTGGCAGCATTTTCATTTACTGTTAAGCAAAGTTGGGGGCTTTTGAAAGAAAAGATAGCCTAATGCAGATGAAATCAGAGTTGAATTTAATTATCTGGACAAAAGATGTCCAATAGGTTTTAATTTCTGGTGCTTATTCCAGTCAGTTAACTGGTAGTAACTGCTTAGAATGCTGTTTAAGGAGCTGTGTCTGGGCATGGCCAAAAAGTTATCTGCTGTGTTGATAGGGGCAGCATACGTGGTATTTATTTGCCAAGTCTGAACTAATTTATGGCTTAAGATACTTGAATTATGGGCTTGTAGCAGGAGTAACTCTCAAAGGTTGATTAGATCAAGAGTTCTTTGTATTACCAATGGGAGAAAAGAGAACAGTGCCTGGTTAAAATCATAAAATGAGGTCATAAATGTATCTGTCATAGAGAAATGAATAGTGCAAGAGGGGAAGGCAGTGAAAAGGGGCACAGAGGGAACAGAGAGTAGGCATTTAAACAGTATGAGTGGTGTTTCATCACCTGCTAATTAATAAAATGCAAAACGTAAGTATATATGTGATAACCTTTTATAAATAAAACCAAGTCACATATTCTTCACTGTATGTGATCAGAACTTGACAACAGAAGTCCATAAATTTGTTCCCAGGAAACAAATCTTGAAGAGAGATTAAGTGTAGTTCTGAATGTACACATCAACATGTATGTATAGAAATCCATGAATTAATTGAAGCATGGTAAATGAGGGTGACTGAACAAAGACAAAAATGATTTTTTGAATACTTACTAAAAATTGTTTTCATTGGATACAATAAATAGATGGCATATTTCTGAGATTTAAAAAAGTGGTACAGAAAAGTCGTAATGATATTGATGTATATTAGTCACTCAGTCGTGTCCAACTCTTTGCAACCCCATGGATGATAGCCTGCCAGGCTCCTCTGTCCATGGAATTCTTCAGGCAAGAACTGGAGTGGGTTCCCATTTCCTTCTCCAGGGGATTTTCCCAACCCAGGAATCAAACCACTGTCTCCTGCATTGCAGGCAGATACTTTACCACTGAGCCAGGGATTCAAATCATTTGAATATCTGTAAAGGCTTTCATTTAGTTATCTGAGTTCAGTTCAGTTCAGTCGCTCAGTCGTGTCTGACTCTTTGCGACCCCATGAACCGCAGCACACCAGGCATCCCTGTCCTTCACCAACTCCCGGAGTCACCCAAACCCATGTCTATTGAGTCGGTGATGCCATCTAACCATCTCATCCTCTGTCGCCCCCTTTTCCTCCTGCCCTCAATCTTTCCCAGCATCATTCTTTTCCAGTGAGTCAGCTCTTCACATCAGGTGGCCAAAGGATTGGAGTTTCAGCTTCAGTATCAGTCCTTCTGTTATCTGAAATGAGCAATAATTATATCAAAGGTAGAAAGCTAAGGGAACTTTTTCATTTTTGGATCAGATAATGACAAAAAGGAAAAATGGAGACTTCCTGGCAGAAGACCCTTCACTTCCAGTACAGGGGCTGCAGGTTCAGTTCCTGGTCAGGGAGTTAAGATCTCAGGTGCCTCTTGGCCTCTCAGCCAAAAAACCAAAACATAAAACAGAAACAATACTGTCACAAATTCAATAAAGACTTAAAAAAAATGATCCACATTAAAAAAAAAAATAGGAGAAATGGCTAAAGGTAAAGGAGGTCATGTTTTAGAATCAACTGTAGCCAAGCTGGGAAATGTTGGATATGGTTGGTCTTGTGCCTACTAGTTTAAAAATGAGATAGTATTAATAGTGGAACGTTCAGAGAAAATTTTTATGATTGAAATGCAGAAGAAAAGGGGATGGCATCTATAAAGAGTTATATAACCATAATTATATGGCTCAAATAGTTCTATGAGCCCAGAGTTTAAAGAACATGTAAAGGAATTTCATGTATAAAAGAGGTATATTAGACATAGGGTCAGAACTGTGAGAATAGTTATCAGCTGAGGATTCTGAAAATTCCTAGAGTAACCGCAAGGGCTTTTACAATTATTTGGGGAACATGAAGAACAAGAAAGGGATGTCTACTTAGAGCAAATGGTCCACTGTTTATAAACAACAGAATGCAAACAGAAAGTAAAACTGTTCTGTTATTATCTTGCTATGATTTTTATCAAGGTGAGTGGTTTTTCATTTGGAAGGGTAGAAAATATATATTTAAATTGATAATAGTAAAAAAACTTGAATTGATAATGATAAATAGGGAGATGAGAACAGAAAAGGAAGTGGATGGTAGGGAATACATATTAATTTCCTGATCTTTTTAGTTGCCATTAAGACACTGACGTTTAAATATTGTTAGTTGTAAAGGTGACTGTCAAAAGAAAAAAGGACCAAATTTGTTCCAAATAGAAAATAGCAAAACAGTCCCCCCACCAAACAAAAATATAGCAATAAATAGAAAATTGAAAAGGCATTAAAGATAGAATGTATGTTATTCCATCAAAACTCTGAAACATTTGTATTAAAGAAGAAAAATATCTACGTATTTTAGAATAGTTAATTCCTGGAAAAACTCTTTGAAGTTTTATTAAACAGATGGTCTGAAATCTCTTGAATTTCAGAGATCACAAAGAGAAACATGGACTCATGGAGAACAAAGTCTTGCCAGAATAATATCATATCCTGTTTTTCAGATAGAAGAGGGAAATTCTGTCACTATTTGAGTTGCAGTAAGTGTTTTTGTTTTATCCATGTGAACATTTTGGGCAAATGGTTGGCTTGAGGAGCCAAACCAGGTGGGGTCTCCAATAGCCACATATGGCTATATATTAATGAACTAAAATTAAAAGTAATTAAATAAAATTAATATACTCCTTCATCAATGCAGATACAGAATATTTCCAGGATCACAGAAAGGTCTATTGGACAGCATTGCGCTGGAGATTCTGATTCTGTGGGTATGAGGTGTTCCCGATTTGACAGTCTCTCTAGAGATGACCTATATAGTTAGGCAGATTTGTAACCATGTGAGTGATTCTTGAAGTCCTACCTCCTATTATTTCCTCATTAACTCTTTTTACAGCTAGCCTATTTGTTGGCGCTCTATGAAAGCCCCTTTCAACTTCCCTTCGGCTTTTCCTCTCCCCTTTGGTTTTGCTGCTCTGACCCGCTTTTGTGGATTTGGTTTGCTGGTTGTTTTCTCAGCATGTCCTCCCTTCCTGTGTAAGACATTACTGACTCTCTTGAGATGTGTGCTGTTCCTCACAGACTCATGCCTGAGGTAAAAGTGGCGCTATCCTTAACTTCAGGATATGCCTGATTGGCAAGGGGAATGGATTTTTCCTTTAACTTACTTTGGGTCATGAATGGGTTTGTAACCCAAATGATATGTGAGGAGGTGGAGTCTGGAAATAGGAAATTAGGAAGAGTTTTCCTCACTGCTGAGAGACCCCTGGGAAGAGAAAGCTTTACTTGTTCTAAACATTGTGTATAGATGTGATACCTGGAGCCACCTTCCTGTCAGCCTGAGAATAAAGGATATCAGAGCTGTTAGATTGACAAAACTTGAGTCCTTACATTGTTGAGCTGTTTAATAAACCAGCCCTGTAACCTGCCCTTTTTATGTATTTATTGTGCAGTGATAATGTATTTTATTTATTCATTTTCATATGTGTCTTTGTTACTTGCAGATAAAAGCATCTTAATTATCCTTCAAAATTTAACCCAAGTCTCTACTTCTGAAGAAACTTCCAGACTATGTCTTTTCACACTTCTTTTTCAAAATACTTTTAGAATATGGTATTCAGATGTGACTTCTTTGGTTCTGTTACAGTCCTTAAATTGTTTGATTTCTTTGTCTTGTTTCTTTAATTGTGAGTTCCTTGGAAACTCAAATATCAAAGTAACTTGTTTGTACGTAGCTAATATATATTTTTTCCTTGCCTTTACAAATTTGTCATTACATGCCTCTTGTGAACTTGTGGAAACATTTATTGGTGTTTCAAAGCAGAAATTAGTTTAACAGCCTTTAAAGATTTTATTTAACTTTTAAAAAATTTATCTTATTGAGGTATAGTTGATTTACAATGTGTTAATTTTTGCTGTGCAGCAAAGTGATTCAGTTATACATCTATATATATTCTTTTTTTCATATTCTTTTCCATGATTTATAGGATACTGATTATCATTCCCTGTGTTATATGATAGGACCTTGTTCTTTTAAGCTTTTCTGAAATAAAGATTTTGTCATTTGTTTTTTAGCTGTTACCACTGACTGAAGAAGAGAAAACTGCGGCAGAGCAATTAAGAGCTCACATGTCAGACTTCTGAGGAAGAAATGGACTTGCAAAAAGGAACTCTAATGGGGCAGAAATCAATCCCAGAAATTTAGGAAGATGTCTTGTTAACATTGATGACTACTGGTCGGGAGATGACAAAGGAGATTTGGCTTGGGTCACTGGATAGTGATGCCTTCCACAGGAGAGGGGGATACAAGAGAAGGGCAGATATTGTATTAATAAAGTTCAGCCAAAGGGGCAGAATGGAAATAAAGAGATTTTAAAAATATATGCACACATGCTTAGTAATTTCAGGCAAGCAAGTCCCAACACCATTTCATATCTGTTTTTGTATAACTGGGATAACACAAATGTCCTGACTGACCTATTGCAAAAGAATATTATGTACTATCAGTCAGTCAGATGTGAATGAACATGCTTGGGAAATTAAAGGTTAGAAAAATATTTGTACTATGTTATACATATGTAAATAATTTTATTGTTGAAAATTCTGATTGCAGATGTGGGTCACATTACTGGTGAGACTGCTAACATGTGACTTGACAGTCTCCCACAATACCTAACTTAGCAGAAAGCTGGCTTTTCTGTGACAGCTTCACTTTTATTTTTGTCCTGTTCCTTCCACCTGCCAACGTTGAGCATGAGCTCTGCTTTCTAATGCTGTTTCAGATTGCCCCTGTCATATTTCAGGGACCTGAAATATACCTTTGTTCCCCTCTAGTCTCTATTACTGTACTTGTTCAGTTCATTCTACTGTAAATCTCTATATATGAACCTTCAAATTGTGAACGTTCGAAGACGTAAACGTGTGTTTTCCCCTCCAGTCACATAAGTTAGCTCTGTTTGAGGAGGCACTGTGAGGTTTTGAGGCATAGGACCTGAATGTAGGATGGTACATGAAGGTTGCAGCAGCCATTCAGAATGTAATTCAGTGCTACCGTGGCATCTATGATGAGAAAAAAGAGCTACCACTCAGACATTACTGGATTGTTCTTTTAAGAAGGCAGACAGAATTGAATCCAGCAAGGAACCAGACCCTGTGCCATCAACTGCAGGTACGAAATCGCAGCTTGCCTTCTGTCCTGTTGCTGATGACCCTTCAGCTCTAGCATCTCCCACCTCCCCTCCCTCTCCAGTCAGAAACTCTTCTTGCCTGTTCACTCGATGCCAGCCCTGTGTCCTGTACTACTGTGCTTTTCAACATACTGTACTTTCAGATTAAAAATGTTTTATTTCTTTGTGTTTGTTTCATATGTATTATTTGTGTGAAAACCATTATAAACCTTTTACAGTGCAGTACTATATAGCTGACTGTTACCTGGCCACCTAGGCTAACTTTGTTGGACTTAACAAAGAAGCTGGACTTAAGGAACGCACTCTCAGAATGGAACTTGTTCCATGTGTAGCGGAATTACTGTATGTGAAAGCTAAGAAACGGAAATGAGAGGATTGTTGCAACTGCTGTTTACCAGTTTTGTGTGTATGTGTATGGGTGTGTGCACCGGTGTCTCTATTTTATTACTTTTTTAAATGGCAAGTAAGTAAGTAAATGATGGTATACACTAGGAGGTCGAGTTACCACTAAATTATCACTGTTAATGTTCTGGGAATCGCTGAAGCTATGCTAAAAAGTTGAGAGGAGAAGCAGATATTGGAGAAGCAGACACTGGAGATGTAAAGCAGGTTTTAAATTCTAGTTGTATAAGCCTGAGCAAACCACTTAACCTGTGTGTGTCAGGATGACTGGAAGGACAATGAGACGGTGAAGTGTTAAGGTTTGATATTTGGTAATTCAATAAATATTTCCACATATGTAATAAAAACAAGATATTGAAAGACCAGGAGAAGTGAATCAAATGTTAGTCTGCAGGTTATAGAATTATAGTTTTATGTAAATAAGAATTTTTTCTGTTATGTTATTAACAAACTTATAATAGCTGACAAACAGGGTTGGAAGAGTAGCTTCAGTTAAAATTGTCTATTCTGAATATTTGGAGAACAGAAACTACCCTAACCTTTAAATTACAAATAAGTCACACCTTAGTACCATATACTACTCTTCTTCAGTTCTCAGGGAAGTAATATTGAGGAAGCTTCTGTCATGATATAACTCTGGGATGCGATGTTGATTGATGGCATTGAAAAATGGTGGTATCACAAAGTGGTCTTAACAAGTTACTGGAGTTAAAGTGTTTTGCTTTCAATCAGGGGGAAAAAAATGATGTTTTTCCTCTGAGTTCCTTCATAAGTTACCTTAAAATGTTGGTTCTACCCCTCATCACTTTTAAAATTGTTCTCTCTGCACTTTATATATTCATTTATTTCCCAGGGTTCATTTATTGCCTCTTTGGGGAATGATTTCCAAGTATAAGTTATTCCACTAGGAGTGAAAGTGTTAGTTGCTCAGTCGTGTTTGCTCTGCAACCCCATGGACTGTAGTCAGCCAGGCTCCTCTGTCCATGGAATTCTCCGGGCAAGAATACTGGAGTGGGTAGCCATTCCCTTCTCCAGGGGATCTTCCTGACCTAAGGATCAAACCTGGGTCTCCTGTATTGCAGGTGGATTCTTTACTGTCTGAGCCACCAAGAAGTCCTAGATCCAAATTTCCAATAAAAACCTTGACCTGAATATTCAAATTGAATGTGTCCAGAATACTTAACTGATTTAATTTTGTTAATAGCCACTGTTCTGTTAGCTGGAATTAAGGTTTGCATCCATTTCTTTATATTCTTAATCAAATCTGTAACTTTTGAAATGTTTATTGTACACAACTTTCATTTTACCTTCACTCTTCTATCTAGTTTAGACCATTTTTATTTCTCATCTGGATGACTGTTTTCTCTTATCTGACTATTCTCTTAGGGCTTCCTTGGTAAAGTAAAGTTTTCGCCCGCAGTGTGTGAGACCTGGGTTCGATCCCTGGGTTGGGAAGATCCCCTAGAAGAAGGCATGGCCACCCACTCCAGAATTCTTGCCTGGAGAATCCCCATGGACAGAGGAGCCTGGTGGGCTATAGTCCATGGGATCACAAAGAGTAGGACATGACTGGGCAACTAAGAACAGCACACACTGTGACTATTAGTCTTTTTATGTCCTAAGTATTAGGTTGTATTTTAAATATAACTTTAAGAAATTTAAAAAAATATAAGTATGCCTATTCTCCCAAACAATTCCAACTTTTTCAGATGTTTCTATAATATATATACAAATCAAAAATCATTTTTAAACAAAAATAGGCTGACAGCTTACACTGTACTGTAGCTGCACTTGTCTTTTTTTTCATTTTAAATGTATCTTCATGTCACACATCTGCTGTTCTTTTGAGCAGCTGTACATATGAATTTACCAGAATTTTTTTTCACCAGTTCCTCACTGATAGGCATTTAAGCTGGCCCCGATAAAGAATCCGCTTGCAGTGTAGGAGACACTGGGGACTTGGGTTCCATCCCTGAGTTGGGAAAATTCACTGGAGGAGGAAATGGCAACCCATTCCAGTATTCTTGCCTGGAAAATTCCATAGACAGGAGTCTGGCAAACTACAATCCATGGGGGTCACAAAGAGTCAGACTTGACTTAGCATGCACACTACAATAGACAAATGAGGAGATGGGGGAAAGGGGGAAAAGAGGAGGATGACAAGGTATGCCCTTAAGGAATTCCAATAGAGCTAACCACAGGTTTCCCAACCACACAGGGTAGCTGAGCATCCTCCCAACTAAGTTTTCTTCTTGCTTAAGTTAGCCAGTATCTGACTTCGGTGACAAGCAATGACCCCTCATTAGTTGTTCAGGTTTTCTAATTTTCCACTATTGTGAACTATTACAATTAATCTTAAATAGTTTGGGGCTCTTGTGCAGATACATCTATTAGTACAAGAACCTATTTTAATATTTATCATAGATTGTAATTTGTCTTTTTTGCTTTCTGCTCTACAGGGTTGCAAAGACCCCTTCTCATTACTCTGAATACCAAGTAATATAGTACTGTGTCCTACAAGCTTTTCCCCCCACAGGTGCACATATAGTTTATTAACGATTACATTTTGAAGCCAGCCATTTTGATCCAGTAATTAAATAAGCTGTTTAATATTAAAGCATTTTAAAAATTTGAGGTAAAAATTAACCATTATTAAAATGTACAGTTGAAGGCATTTTAGTATAAAAGATGTGCAAGTATCACCTCTATGTAGTTCCAAGGCCATAAATAATTTTTGGTGAAAGGATTTTTCAGGCACAATTATTCCTAAATTATATCTTTGTCCATGGCTCCTGCCATTAAAGAAAAAATTGTTATGCCTACTACTTAACAAGAAAGTCCAAATGCCTTGATATTTAACAACTTCCTCAATTATTGCTGATTCTCTCTTCGGGTGCATTCAGTTAGGTTAAGTGTAGTTAGGTGTAACAGTTTGCAATAAACTGGAAAGGGACATTTTAGTTCAAATGAAGGATTTTATGTATATCCTTCGTCTCACACCTTCAATTCCTGCAATCTTTAAACATTTTTTTACCTAGAAAACTGTCGAAAGGAGAACGCCGGTACAGGAACGTTGAACACAGGTGAAAACCCTTGCACTTTCCGGTCTTAAGGCGCTAGCTCACCTTAAGTCCCAAGCAATGCATGGCGGCAGTGGTTGCATGGCGGAGTCTGCCGGCGACGCAATACAAGGTCCCACCCGCCCACTCCCGACACTGAAATGACCGCTCCAGGCTTCACGATCTGGAGCTCTGCTTCAGTAGTTGGGGCGGAAGTACTAAAAATCAGAATCTGCGTTTGCTCCTTGAGCAAGAATCACCAGCCACGAGTCCTCTACACCAGTTTTGCAAAATGCGGGCCACAAGACACCTGCAGCCCAATGTGCGAGAGTAGCAGAAACATGCTGATTTCGTGGAGCCCCACCCTAGAACCCGAATACCTAGGGGTGTGGTTCCGGAGTCTGCATTTCCCCGCAGCTCTCCAGGTGGCTCCCGCCTTTGGCGCTCAGAACTTTGAGACGAGTGGAGCCCCGCCCCGCCGGGGCGGGGCGCGGCCCAGCGCCGCGCTCTCCGCCTGCGCTAACCCAGACCGAAAGCACGCAACCCGGCGGCCTCGAACGGCCAAATCTCGTGTACGCTCCCGCACCGCGGGAACTAGGCGCCGGCTTCTGGCCCGCTCCTTGGCGCAGCGGTCTGCGCGCATGCGTGCGCGCGCGCCGCGCCTTTCCTCACGCCGCGCCTTCCGCTGCCCTGGTTACCGTTAGTGTTTGCGAATTCCCTGCAGCACCTTCTTCGCTGGAGACCAACGCCGCCGGACTCCGGCAGCGGTTCGATACGCGCGCGCCTGCGTCACGTGGGCCGAGACTCCCTCGCAGTCGCTGGCGAGCCGCTGAGCCGGGAGGAGAGGAGCTGCGGGCTACCGCTCACCCTCCCACCGCGCCCAGGGGCTGGCGCCCGGATGAAAATGGCGAAGTGGGGGTAGCTGGCGCGGAGCGTGAAGCTATGGGGCGCGCAGGTGTGCCGGCCGTCGGAGCCCCCTGAGGCGGGCGCCTGGCGGTTCTCTGGGGCAGTTTGACCTGGCGATCTCGGGCTGGCGCCTAATCGGTCAGATCACGGGCTCCGCGGGTCTCCGAGGGACCCACCGAGAGAAGGGGGCAATGGATGAACAGAGTGTGGAGGTGAGGGGGCTTGAGGAGGGTGGTGGCTTAGTCTTCCTCGTCCCCCGCTGAGCGTTCTGTATTCGGGGCGCCCCGTCCTAGTCCACCCTCTCGTGGGGCACCCCCGCCCCACTGCTGCTACTGTGGAGGGGCTGACCCAGTGCGGGGGACGCCGTGCTCGCCTTGCAGCCTTCGAGGGCGCCTTATGCTCGGACGCTTCCCGCAGTCAGGTGGTGCGTATCCGGGCGTTTTCAGGATGTCTTGGCACCGGTACTCATCCCAACGGGGTTTTTGCAAACTACAGCCTTTTCAGCGCAAAACTGCAAATTCTTTACATGGTTGTGCCCTTGCGACTCGCGGCCAGTTCTCACGAGTTTCTGAGCGAATCCGAATCTCCCTCGGAATGGGTAATCATTCCCTTCTCCGCGGTACATTCTGTAGACATCTGCCCTTCCCAGATTGAATGAGGATATACTTACTATCCTGTTTGATTGTAGTTTTCTAGAGCAACCTGTTCTTTTTATCTGAGTCTTGTAAACGATGTTTTCAAATGTCTGGGATACTGACTTTAAGGCTAGGAACATAAAAAAAGATTGCTTATTGGACATAATTATATACTATTAATAATTGTCAAAATTTGAACCTTCCAATTACTAAAATACTAAATCCTTGATTTTTAATTAGGGACAACTGTATTAGTTGGGTACTCCACTTGAAACTAGTTCATCCAATGGTCGTATTGTGTCCCATCTCCCCACCCCCCCAGCGTCTGCATCTCACAGATTCTGGTCCTGCAGAGTCATGGTTAGGCTCATGATTAATTTTCTCCTTAATTCCTCTTGTAAAAGTATTATAAAGGTTTTGTAACCTTACCTTTGTTTTTAGAAGCCTTTTAATTCCTCTGAAATGGAGTAAAAATAAATGTGAGTACTGTAAAAATAAACTTACAATATGTAATAACCTACATTTAATTATATCTGTTTTCTTGCCAGATACTTCCTAAATTGATTCATCTGAAACTAGCAAACATAATATTGTTCCTTCTATTTCTGTAATTTTTTTTCTTCCTAAAGCCTTCATAGAGCTGCCACCAAAATTCTCAGTACAGGCAGAATTTCAGGCTCAAATAAATTGCTAGTTGGTTTGAACATCTTGGCAGAAATTCAGATTTCTGGATTCTGAATTACATAGTTTCCCTCTTGATCAAAGTATGCTGCCATTAATGGATCTTTTTATACTTAAAAAATTTATAAACACAATCCACTCCCCTTGGGGAATTTGCAGAAAAAGCTGCAAGTTCATAATGTTCATTCAGTCCTATAGTTTGCCCTTTTTTTGTTACACATCATAAGGTTTTTTTTATCATAAACTTCAAAGATTTTTCTAGTGGCTATCATAATCTATGTTAACTCCTGTAATTTAATATTTTGACCTTTGGGCTGTAGCCAGATTCTTCCGTTATATTTATTGTTTCAGTGGGAATATTTGTGCAGAAGTCTGTCTGAATTCCATGTTCTTTGCTTATACTAGGATCATTGTGAAGCTTAGAAAAATGGAGGCGTTTTTTCCCTCAGGAGATGTTCTGAGGTACCTGGACCTTGACTAACCAAGCGTATATGGAATATAGTTAAAACTGAGATGTTGTGAATCCAAAATAAATGTGAATGTTGAATGGATTATTGCAGACATGCTTTATACTCTTGATTCAGTAGCCGAATCTGGTGAACTTTAACATCTTTTTATTATTTTCAGAGCATTGCTGAGGTTTTCCGATGTTTCATTTGTATGGAGAAGTTGCGGGACGCGCGCTTGTGTCCTCATTGCTCCAAGCTTTGTTGTTTCAGCTGTATTAGGGTAAGTTATGTACCTCTTTTTACATGCATCTAGCATATATAGGGTATATTGTAAAAATTAACCATTTTTTATATCTTCTTAAAATTTGATATTATATGCCCTTTTAAAAATGTCTTAAATGAATGTTCATTAATAGGGAAGTTGTCAACGTATATTGTTAAGCTCTGTGGAAATGAATAATCAAGTGATAACTGCCTTGAAATGTCTGGAAACCAAAACCCAGTGTAACTTTAGTATATTTACATTATTAAATCATTGCACACTTAACAAGTACTTATGAAGTGCTTACCTGCATTGTATTTGGAGTTGAGGATGCCAAGATAAGTGATGGAAGCACTTTCCCTGCAGGAGTTTAAATCTAATTAAGAGAATGGACTTTGTGTTTATATTGAGGAATGTGTAGTGTCATAAAGAGGCACTTACAAAGTGCTGCGAGACTCAAGAGGGAGAGTTTATACTTGTTTAATGGGTAAGATAGAGAAAAAGCTAGTAATAGGTTCAAAGGCAAAGAATAAAGTCATATAATCTTATAGTTAAGAGAGACCTTAAAGGTGAATATAATCTGATGGCTTTAAAAATTAAATGTCGGTGAACCCCACAACAAAATTATGAGAAAGCCTAAGATGTAAAGCAGAAGAGATTATTTTGGTTGTATGTAGGAATTCAGTGCACATTCGCAGGCCATAGCTGAAAACTGCCCTGCCCACATTACTCTTAGTAGATAATTTCCTTTATTGAGAAAGTCAAAGTCATGTAACATACTCTCCATCTCAAACTTTCTCTGTGGTTCCCTGTTCCTGCCTGAGGAAGATAAATATCCCTTAGTCAAAGAGTAATATCTGAAACACTTAAATCATTTGCTTCCAGTCACACAGTTAGCAAATGATAGAGCCAGGCAGTCTGGCTCTAGAGCCTGTGTTCTTTGGCACTATACTACATGTGCAGAAGGCCTAGGTTACATACCATGCTGCTTCTCCCACTCATAAACTGAGAGACTTAATCTTTGCATTGTTTTGTCAAACAATAGAATGTGGATAACAAGATCTGTCCCACAAGATCGTTGTGGCATTAAATGAGATAAGTAAGCTAAAAGGTTTAATTTAGAAACTAACATATACTCTCCACTTGTGCTATTTTATTGTATTCTAAAAATAACAACTCATACACATATTGTGTTTTATAAACGGTGTAGCTGAAGAGAGATAGATTTAAGTGGCCTCTATCACTGTAGTTAATTGATAAAGTGGATCTGGATTCACCTCTTTTGATGAAGGTCTAGTATACATGGACTTTTCAAGTGGTGCAGTGCTAAAGAATCCGCCTGCCAACATAGGAGAAGCAGGAGACATGGATTTGATCCCTGGGACTCGGAAGATCCCTTGAAGTAGGAAATGGCAACCGTCTCTAGTTTTCTTGCCTGCAAAATTCCATGAACAGAGGAGCAAAGAGTCAGACATGACTGAGCACAAAAATGCAAAGATACAAATACCACTATATAGATGACCTCTGGTTATTATGTTATTCCTCACTGATCCTTCATTCCTTCACTGTTACCTTTTCCTCATCCTGTTCCTTACAAGAGTGTATTTCTTAAATATTGTGCTGGCATTCTCTTTTATGAAGTGTCTGGGAATTTTTCATCTACTTTGAGAAATTTGGTTTACTTTTGCATGGCTTCTAAATCTTCCTTCAACATTGCCTTATAAATGTCATACCTGATTGTCCTTCCAGCATCTTGAGATTTGCTTCAAATCAAATTCTTCCTGTTATTTTCTCAAGTTGACTCTCTTGAACTTTTTTGTTTCTTCTTTTCTACCAGGAACTCAAACTTAAAACCTCTTGACACCAATGATTTTTAAGTTATTATCTCCTAAAGTGAAAGTGAAGTCGCTCAGTCGTGTCTGACTCTTTGCAACCCCATGGAGTGTAGCCTACCAGGCTCCTCCGTCCATGGGATTTTCCAAGCAAGAATACTGGAGTGGATTGCCATTTCCTTCTCCAGGAGCTCTTCCCAAACCAGGTATTGAACCTGGGTCTTCCACATTGTAGGCAGATGCTTTACCATCTGAGCCACCAGGGAAGTCCTATTATCTCCTACTGTCATTTATATTTGTCCTGCCTTTCCATTCTTTTTATTAGCATCCAAATGGGGCTTCCCTGGTAGCTCAGATGGTAAAGCGTCTGCCTACAATGCGGGACACTCGGGTTTGGTCCCTGGGTTGGGAAGATCCCCTGGAGAAGGAAATGGCAGCCCACTCCAGTATTCTTGTCTGGAGAATCCCATGGACAGAGGATCCTGGTGGGCTACAGTCCATGGGGTCTCAAAGAGTCAGACATGACTGAGCAACTTCACTTCACTTCACTTACTAGAGAATTGCAGATACTTATTACGTCATGCTTCGATAATTACAATTACCATCTAACTGATCTGTCTTAAATGTTTAATCTGTAGTCCATTTTGTATCCTGCTGCTGTGTTGATGTTTTCCAGTAATGCCATTTTTTTTTGTTCTCCCAGAAGCCTTGGATTTATTGCCTGAAGGATAAAGTCCAAGAACATTAACCTTGTATTCAGACCATCTGGATAATCTGGTTCTAACCTTCTTCTTAGAGTTGACTTGTTCCCAAGTGCACCGTCCATTTGTTCCTTTATTCAATGGCTATTAATTATGTGCCTACTTGGGGTTCGGCATTGACTTCTCAAGGAGTTGGGTTCTTTTCTAGTTAGGGTATATACAAAAAAGTAAATAGCCGTGTAGATACCCTTCATAGCATAGAGAAAAGTGAAATTGGCTAAGGGTCTAGAGTAGGGACTTTGGGAGGGCACAGGCCGGTTGGTAGCTACTTTAGGTAGGGTAATCTGAGAACGTCTCTGAGTATATGACATTTGAGCAGAGACCAGGATGAAATGGAAGAGTGATGGAAATAATTGGGAAAGAAGGTACCAGGCAGAGAAATCAGAAGGGGAAAGGCCTTGAGAAAGAAATACGTTTAGTGTGCTGAGAAACAGCAAAGAAACCAGTGTACTTGGAGCAAAGTGGACAGAGGCAGAGAGGGAACGGAAATGAGCCTTGGTAAAGACCTTGGGTTTCATTTTAGGTGTGCTGCTATCCATTGAAAGCTGTTGAGTGATTTGAAGTAGTTGATGCCCTGAAAGCTTTCACTCTGGCTGCTGTGTGGAAGGTAGACTGTTGGCAGATGGTTGAGAGAGTGGAGAGAACAGTCAGGATGGGCCTTATGAATGAAATGGTGATTGGTGGTTTAGACTGGAAGGGGAACAGCAGAAGTGGTAAAAAATAGGGCTTTTCTGTTGTTTTGAAGGTAGAATCAGTGGGTTTTCATAGAGATGGGATATGAGGAAAGTTTTTACAGCATCTGGATGAATGGTTTTCCATTTGGAAGCAGAAAAAACGGGGAGGAACAGATTTGGGTAGGCTATAAAAGTTGTGGGTTGTTTTTTTAACAGTACAAAAAACATTGTTTTTGCTAGTGAGAGCAATATAACTAAATATGGTTCTGTCTTAAACCAATTTATGACCATGATACTACTGTTGAAAATTTTGAACTAGTTCAGTTTATTACAGTACTTGTATTTTTTAAATCTTAAACAAATTGAGATAGAATTCACATACCATAAAATTCACCCTTTTAATGTATAAATAAAGTTTTTCTTTTAGTATGTCAGGTTTGAGGTGATTATTATACATTTAATTGGAGATGTTGACAGTTGCAACTATGAATCTGGATTTGAGGACTGGATTGAATTATTAGCATATAGTTAATATTTAAAGGCAGGGGACTAGATGAGATTACCAGATTACTTCCTGTGGGAAGAGATTTTTAGGTCTGAACTCTGGGTCACTCAAAGTTCAAATGTTAGGAGAAGGAGGATTCAGCAGAGTGTATTAAGAAGGAGCCAGGAGTGAGACACCACAGAATTCAGATGAGAAACATGTTTCAAAAAGAAGTGATTTAGACATGTCATATGGTTGTAGCCTGGGAATTGACAGTTGGATTTGAGAATAAGTAGGTTTTTGATGACCCTAATAAGTAAATTCAGTGGACCAGTGGGGGAAAATTTGATGTCAGAGGGGGAGGAGAAAGAGACAGCGAGTATAAAAACTGTCAGAGAATCTTACTGTAAAGGGGAGAAATAAGGCAATGAATTGAAGGGGGGTGTTGAGAGTCATCTTTTAGGAGGTTTTTATCTTGCTGGGACGAAACCAGTAGAGAATACATAATGATACTAGAGAGACGAGGATAATTACAGAAGCAAAGTCCTTGAGATGTTGAGAGCTCCACACAACCGAGTTGTAATATTGTTTATTTGAATGCCCTCCTTTCTTTTCCATCCCATCTCTGTTCCTTTGTCCACAGAGCTTGAACTATCTCTGACAGGCCAGATACTTGTGTCATTTTAACACACTAACGTTCAGATGCGTGAATAGACTTGTCCGAAGTCACCTGGTGGTTGATGGCAGTCTGAGAGTGAACTTCCTCCCAGGCCGGCACTCTGCCGAGGGTATCTGGTGCCTCCACACGTGTACCAGGAGGCAGGAACATTGGCTGTGCTTCCATTTCTCTCACTGCACTCGGCTGATTTTTTCCTCAGTGTCTGTTTCTATTTCGTATTTTCTCTTTTTTTTTTTTTTGACATCTTTCTCATCTAATTTTTAAAATTTATTTTTAATACCCTCTTTATTTTTCAGCATTGGTAGCAACTTGTTTGCCTATAATTATTGACTTTGTTTTCCATTTTTCAGTCTTTTAAAATTAGGTATATTTGACATACAGTAAGCTGCACATATTTAAAATACACAATTTGATAAGTTTTGGCAAATGTTTCCATTGAAAAGCCATCCCTGCAATCAAGATAATGAACACATCTGTAATCCCCCAAACTTCTTTTTGCCTCTTGGTAATGCCTCCCTTTGCTTGTTTTGTTCTCAAGCAACCAGGAATCTGCTTTCTATCACTTTAGATAAGTTTGCATTTTCTAGAATCTTATACAAATGGAACCTTACAATATGTACTCTTAAGGGTTTGGCTTTTTTCGCTCAGCAAAAATTGAGATTCATCTGTGGTGTTTTAACAGTACTATTCCTTTTTGTTGCTGCAAAGTAGCATTCCACTGTATGCCTAGCTATAATTTGTTTATCCATTCACCTATTGATGGACATGAGTTGCTTCTAGTTTTTGTTGTTTACAAAGAAAGCTATGAACATTTGTATACAAGTCCTTGAATGAACTTAAGCTTTCTTTTCTCTTGGGTAAGTAGAAATGAAATGGCTCAATCATATGGTAGGTGTATGTTTAACCAATTGTCAGACTATTTTCTAAAATAGTTGTATCATTTTACATTCTTACCAGCAGTGTATGAGAGTTGCAGATCTTCCATGTTAATGCACACAGTTGGTATGTTCAGTCTTGAATTTTAGCCATTCTTATAGGTACGTAGTAGTAACTCAACTTTTCCCTTGAGATCAAGAAAAAGACAAGAATGTGTACTTTTATTACTTTGGACCATTATACTTTCCCCAAATCCCTGGTAACCACTATTCCTTCTTCTCTGGAATCCGACTAGTCTAAGTACCCCATATAAATGGAATCAAAGAATATTTGTTCCTTGCTGTTTTATCTCTTGGCTCTCTATTCTGTTTCATTGTCCTTACGTCAGTGCTGAACTGTTGTGATTTACCATAACTAGTAAACACTGAAATCAGGAAATGTGAGTCCTCCTAACTTTGTGAAAAGTGTTCAGTGTTTCACCGTGGAGTATCATGTGTGTTGTGGGTTTTGTGTGTTGTTGTTGTTCAGTCTCTCAGTCGTGTCCAACTCTTTGCAACCCCGTAGACTGTAGGACTCCAGGCTTCCCTGTCCTTCACTGTCTCCCATTATTTGCTCAAACTCATATTCATTGAGTTGATGCCATCCAACCATCTCATCCTTTTTTGCCCTCTTTTCTTCCTCCCCTCAGTCTTTCCCAGCATCAGGACCTTTTCCAATGAGTTGGCTCCTCGCAGCAGGTGGCCAGAGTATTGGAGCTTCAGCTTCAGCATCAGGCCTTCCAATGAATATTCAGGGTTGATTTCCTTTATGATTGACTGGTTTGATCTCCAAGGGACTCTCAAGAGTCTTCTCCATCACCACAGCTCAAAAGCACCAATTCTTCAGCGTTCAGATGAGCCTAGAGAGGTGTGGGCTGAGACTACCTCTGGAGGAGTGCTGTGACTTTAGCAGAGCATTGTTTGAGGGAAAGAAACATGACCTAAATCTGGCTTTGCTCAGGGACCAAAGAAATAATGTTTAAGGTTATTAAGAATGGAATCCTTTTCGATCTATTTTCTTTTTCTTACAGCTTTATTTTCTGTTGTGTGATGTAGATTTTCCCCCTATTTACCTTCTGTTGTTCTTCAAGGATTCCTTGGGAATTTTATTTCTGAGTTATTTGACTTTATTTAAAAACTTAGGTTCTTTCATAGAAACAGGAAGGAATAAACAGAAATAGTGGATTCTGGGGAGTACATAGCTATTGGATTATATATTTATTTACCTCAGAACTTATTAACCAGGTAATTCAAACAAAATATTTAACTATGAAGCTATTGTTTTTGGAAATATATTCAGAAAATCTTAGCATCTTCTTTGTAGATTGAGTAAAACTGCTCCCTATCCAGTAATAACTAAAATAGTTGTAGTAATAGAATTTGAGGTTTAGTAGAAATATTATTCTCTTATAAAACCTTTTTATAATTATGAAGAGACCAGGATATGTAGATGTTCAAATTGTTGAACTGTAGAACTCTTATGACAGAGTTTCGCTGTATTGCTTATTTTATATTTTTCTAATTTTATATCTGTAACGCATATACTTTACTATTAATTTGCTTTTCAAAAAGGAATTTAGTAGTACCTTAAAATTACTCGGAGATTTTATGATGAGTCAGAAGTAGATCATCATAGTGGCTTATTTTGGGGTGTGGAAGTGACAGTGTTGTTATTATTTTTGTGGAGATTATTTTATCTTCCCTGTGAGATTCAGACTCCTAGGATCACTTTTTTTTCCTATGAGAGAATAGCTTCTTAATAATTATTTTGGGATGAGTTCTGTCCCTTTGAAAATTTATTCTTGTCACGATGATAATGAGGAGACAGATTGCCTGCTATTCTGTAAGTACCTCTATAATTAATGCAGACACTAGAGAGGTAAACTCATTAATTTTGGTATGTAAGTACTCAATATGTACAAATTAATGGTGTTTCTGCAATCAAAATCTAATTCTTTTGCCTCCTTAGCGCTGGCTGACAGAGCAAAGAGCCCAATGTCCTCATTGCCGGTAAGCATTTTACTATGATTGTGAATTTGGAAAGTAGTAAGGTGATGGGGTCAGAGAGAGCCCTAATACTCATAAAGTTCTTTCTGCAATCTGCTACATTTCTTCTCTTTTTGAATACAGTTGAAAAGAATATAAGCAGTCTTATCTGTCTGAAGAAGTGCAAACTAATTTATCTGACATAGAATTATATAGAATATATTACATTGTTTACCTTCTTTTGGAAAATCATTGTGTAACTTCTAAACTTGCCTTTTGTAACTACAAAAATTAATAAAGTTTCTGTTAAAAAAAATCCATAGCTGAACAAAAAGGCTTCTGATTCTGATACCCCCCACCTAATCTTTTCATGAATTAACACTTTGAGAAGAAACTGTTAGGTTTGGTTTGTTTGTTTGTTCTTTTAGACATCTCTTTATGTATACTGATATGTGTACATGATAATTTTTTCTTAAAACACAAAAATGATATTTTGTTGTTTGCTTCTTTTTTCCATGTAAAATCTAGTGGTGCCTTTATTGATGGTATGTACACATATGTCATTTAAAATCAATGTTTGAGTAATAATCCACTGTAAGATTATACATTTATTTGTGCTTATACTGGAAGGTTGTTTCCATTTTTGGTTATTTCAAATGATGCCAGATTCCATTGAAGGAAAAGGCTTTTTGCCATTTTATGTTCCTAATAATAGAAAATGAAAGTACCTTTTCATCACATCCTTGCTAACAGTATTACCAATCTTGTTTTCTTTTTTGTTATTCTGCTAAGTGAAAAATGGTATCTTGTTTTTAATCTGCTTAAAAAAAATGATTGGAACTGAGCATCTATTAGCATTTTTAGTCATTTATAATTTATTTTTTTCTTAAACTGTCTCTTTTTATCTTTTGCCCATTTTTCTTCATGTATTTGCATTTTTCCTATTAACTTTTAAGAAAATCAGGACTATCAAATAGAACTTTCCATGTGATGGGAATGTTCTCTAGTGTTGCTGTCAAATGTGGTAATTGAGCACTTAAAGTAAGTCTAGTGTAACTATGTAATGAAATTTTTTAAGATTAATTTGAATTTTAATTTAAAGTCACATATGACTAGTGGCTGTCATTTTGGGCAGTAGAGCTTTAGGTTAAGTAATTGAGAATTAAATTTGTAATCTAAAATTTTTTTATTCCTCTTTTTAAAAATACATAGTACATTATTGTAAAAATAGGCTGCAAACCATACTTTTCATAATGTCTTTGTTACTATTTTGATAATAATTGGTATGAATATGATTGTGAGCTCTGTTTTGAGCAAGGTGTTTATTTTTTCTTGATTGATAATTTTTTTCCAGCTTCGTTGAGATATTAATTGATAAACAATTCTGAAAGGATTCCCCACATTGAGTTAGCAGATCTGCCACCTCAGTATTTACCTTTGAAATGTGTTTTAGAAAATGATCTTAAATTCCTGAATGAGAGTGTACACATATATGTATGTTTTTTTTTTCTCCAGTGCTCCACTCCAGTTACGAGAACTAGTCAACTGTCGTTGGGCAGAAGAAGTAACACAGCAACTTGATACTCTTCAACTCTGCAGTCTCACCAAACATGAAGAAAATGAAAAGGACAAGTATGTCCTCAGTTTCTTTGTCCAGGTGTTTCATAGATTGTGCTACATGCCTTTTTAAATGACATTATTGCAAGATTCCTTTCAGTTTCGTAGGTGAACACTAAGACAGTTTTCTTATGGTGTGGGTGTCTCTGTTTGGAAAGACCCTCTAATACTCAGGGGCTCCTCTCCAGTTGCAGCGCACAGGCTTCTCACTGTGTTGGCTTCTCTGCTGTGGAGCAGGGCTCTCGGGTGCGCGGCCTCCGTAGTTGCCGCTCGTGGGCTCTAGAGCTCAGGTTTAGTAGCTGTGCCCCCGCTTAGTTGGATCACAGCGTGTGCAGTCCTCTCAGATCAGGGGTTAAACCTTTGTCCCCTGCACTGGCAGGTGATTCCTACCCACTGTGCCACTAGAAAGTCCTCCTTCCTTTTTTTATGATGCCCATGCTAATCAGTGTGAAGTAATGTTGTGGTTTTGATTTGCATTTACCTTATGAGGATGTTGAGCATCTTTACCTGTCCATTTGGCCATTTGTGTATATTCTTTGGAGAAGTTTCTGTTTTGTATTTTGCCCATATTTTAATTGTTTTTGTTAGTTTGCTTGGCTAGTGCCAAGTCGCTGCAGTCATGTCTGACTCCTTGCGACCCCATGGAATATAGCCCACCAAGCTCCTCTGTCCATGGGATTCTCCAGGCAAGAATACTGGAGTGGGTTACCATGCCTTTCTCCTGCTTGGCTAGGGTATTTGTTTAATTGTAGGAATTCTTTATATAATTTGGGTATTAACTCCTATCATGTGTCTTTTGATGTACATAGGTTAAGTTGATGTAGTCTAATTTACACAAAAGCCATGGGAGTTCATTCTATATTTCCTGAGATAGAGTCATTTAAAATTGACTGACTTATTTGCCCAAACTTAGGTATTTGTTGTGGTAACTGTGTTCCAATTTTAATTAATTTATAACTGTACTTTTTTTCTGTAACATATAGGTGTGAGAATCACCATGAAAAACTTAGTGTATTTTGCTGGACTTGTAAGAAGTGTATCTGCCACCAGTGTGCACTTTGGGGAGGAATGGTAAGAGGAACAAATTCAGCATATTATTTTTGGTTAGAGTCTTGAAAGCACTGACATTTTTGTTTGATTTGGAAAGTAATATCATTTTACTCTGTTTATAGAATGAAAATTAAATGTATCTGCTTCATAGCAGAATGTATTATATCTTTTGTTATTCCAGAAAATTTTCTTTTGTGGGAGATTTTGGTGTATGATGTGCATTCCTTACATAAATATTTTAATTGAAAACCTGTAAAATGTATATTTATTTGCAAATCTTCTGCTATAGGATCAAGGCCTTTTCCTTAATCTGATACCCTGGTCAGTTGATCTGATATCCTGGCTGTGATTTCCAATTCTAGTTCTTTAAAATGGAACAACTTTATAGGCATTTGTGAAACAATGTAGACATTTAGATCTTATGATTTTTTTAAAAAATCTTCTTTTCTCAAGTACCTTTCTGATTGATTCATTTGTGCTAGAGACTGGGGGTTCAGTGATGAACACAACAGATATCAAACAGCTAGTTCTTTACTCACTTGCTGTTGTGAAAAATATTAGAAATAAGTATACAGTGCTAATGAGAGTGACTGACCATGGGACCAACACTGTAAGCCTGAGTTAAGTTCCAGAGGATAAGTAGGAGTTAAGTGGGTGGAGAATTTGAAGAGGGTGGAGGAAAGAGCATTATTTTTGAATAAGGAGTTTCTTTGGCAAAGGACTGGTGGGAAGAAGTTTGAGGACATAGAAGAAGGCTAGTACTAAGAGAAGAGAAACAAATAAGGTTGTGTCAGGTGGTTTTGGCCATGGTTAAGGATTTTGTTTCTTTAATGAGTGAAGATTTCTAGGTAAGTAAACGTTTTGCTAAAGTCCATTATCTAAAACCTTGAAGGATTTTTTTCTGCATGGGCCAAGTGATTTTAAGCAAACTCTGGCCTGTTTTAACTAACAGGCAGAAGATAAAATTCACATGAAATTATTTACCAGTTTAGTAGTACCCTTAGAGTGTTAAGGAAGGAATGTAAATGTAGATGAGATATATGAAAATGTTCTAAAACTACTCATTAATTTAAATAGCATAGTGGACATACCTTTAAACCTTTGGCGGAAATTTATGAGCAGCATGTTACTAAAGTGAATGAAGAAGTAGCCAAACTTCGTCGACGTCTCATGGAACTTATCAGCTTAGTTCAAGAAGTGGTAAGACTACTACTACTAAAAGATCATTATTTCTTTTATAGTTTATAATATATGTACACATATATTTTTCTTTTCTTTTTATTTTTTTGCCGCACCATGTGGCGTGTGGGATCTTAGTTTGCCAGCCAGGGATCCAGCCTTTGCCCCCTGCATTGAAAGAGCATTCTTAAACCACTGGACCACCAGGGAAGTCCCTATAATAAAATATATGTTTTTTATAAGATAGATCAATCAGATGTTGAACTCAAGATTGGAAAATTTGATAAGAGGTATTTATAGTTTCTCTCACTAACTTTAAACCAGCTGAGGAATTGTATCCAAATTCCTTGCCTGCTGTGAAGTTGGAGCCAGAGAATTGCCTGTTCTTGCAGAAAAATAGGGAATCAATGAATGAGTTCAATGAGCCTATTTGTTACAGAGTCAATTACTGACTTCTGAATAGAATCAGTATTGACATTTTATAGTCATTAAGTCATTTATTCTTTGGGAGAGTTTCTGCTACCACAGAATGAACTATTTCTGAATTAGAACTGTAAAATTGTATGAGTAATATTTAACACTACTCTTTAGATATTGTCTGGGTCAAGAGCTCTGGTGAGTTATTTACCATTTGTAAAATATTTCTATGGGAAAGTGTAATAAGCATCAAACATTTAAGTAGAAAATACACTTTTGGAATTTATTTTGTTCAAAGTTACCTGAATGACACTTATTAGTGAGGTTTGTGGACCATTCCTAACTTAAAGATGTTTTTATTTTAGTCATGCAGGAATCAAGATTGAGATTATCATTTTTATAACATTCTTTATACAGAAAATAATATTTTTGAGTTACATGTATGTTGCACAAAGTCATTTTGAACTATAAACAAGTTGGATGTCTTCCATTTGGCTTTTATTTGTCTACCTTTTTTCTATTGTTTTCTTTTGATGACATTTTAATTTGGGCATTAAAGAAGGTGTTTGTTGGTAGTTTGACATTCTCACTGCTTTTGCTTATAATAGTAAATATAGGAAAGTTTACTTTTTATTTTGGTGGTATGCTATTTAAAAAAACTGTACTATGCAGTCTTTAAAAACCCTATTTTTTTCTTTCTGAGCTTAGTTCTGAAAAAAATTTAAAACTTTGTAAACTAGAGTAGATACGGTTTTTCAGATTTTTCATTTGTTTTAGGGTGATGTGAACTGACCTTAGTGTACTTTTTGAACAGTGATTTCCTATATGGTTAGGCTTTGTATGTGTTACCTAAAGCAATTTTTTGTAATTACACGTCTTTTCTGTTTAACTGTTAAAATATTATGTAGTTTATTATGTTTTAATTGTTAAAACTTTTTTCTGAGTTTCCTGTTGTATTTGAACAATTAAAAAGTGTTATTGGCTTATAGTTTTTAAAGGGGAAATTAAATGACTTTAAGAATTGCAGTGATTATGTTAAGGTCCATTTACTTCTGTTTGAATAATTCAATTAAAAGTGTTTACCTGTTTATTTTCTAGGAAAGAAATGTAGAAGCTGTAAGAAATGCAAAAGATGAGCGTGTTCGGGAGATTAGGAATGCAGTGGAGATGATGATAGCACGATTAGACACCCAGCTGAAGAATAAGCTAATAACATTGATGGGTGAGTTTTCTTGTGTACATGGGGCTTTGAACCTCCTTCAGATTCGTCTTAGAAGAGTAAAAGTTGATAAGTTATAGGCTGGGGAAAGATTGCTTTAAAAAAAGAATTCTGCCTATCAATTGTTCCCTTATGTCAGTTAACATTACACCAAATTGATATTATTTCTGCTGACATCATGGGATATGCTTCCAGCTCCTCAGACTGTGATTTACACAGAAGATGGTCTGATTTGGCAAGCCTGCCTGTACTGTAATCATGTCAGCAGTGTCTTTCTTCCTTCACTGTAATAATCTTTCATTTATCCCTTCTGTTTCCAGCTTCTTTGAGACTGCTTTCCTCTCTGGGCATTCTTTTTCATAGGTTCCTTTTTATTCAAAGAACATACCTCTTGCTGACAGTTTGTATACAAAATGGTCCACTAACTACATTCTTGTTTTTAGGCCGCTGTTAAATTTGGGGGGAGGAATTATTTCAGAATGGTTGATTGATTAAATACTTTGGTACATCTTTATATTCCTTAAGAAGCAATAACATTAATTTCATCACAGAGTATGTTGTCATTATACGTTTCTTAGAAGGATTTAATAGAATTACATTGCATTTTTTCTGTTATTGTAGTTAGTGTTGGTTCTGAAATCCTCTTGTCAAAGCTACTATAATTACAATTCTGGGAAGTTTTTTAAGATAGCTGTAATGAAGAAGTTTTGCTGACTTGAGATTGATTTCTTATTATCAAATATGTTCAATGAAAGTTAATTTCATTTTCAAACCAATAACGAGCCTGAATGTTCGTCTTTGCTATCTTTAAATAGGTCAGAAGACATCTCTGACTCAAGAAACAGAACTATTGGAATCCTTAGTTCAGGAAGTAGAGCATCAGGTAATGGAATATTAAATGACATGAGATAAAGTCTTTATCCTTTTTTTGTTCATATACTTGAAAAATTTTTTGGTTTTGTTGTTTTTTTGACAGTTTATATAAGGTCAAAGATCTCTGGATCTGTGTGCTGTACTAGGGATTTTTATGAAATAGGAATCAGCTGATTCAGTTTCTCCATCATGTTTGGGAACTAGGTAAAGATTTTTTTTTTTTAATATTTATTTGTTGGTTGTGTTGAGTCTTAGTTGCATCATGTGGGATCTGGTCACACAGATTCTCTAGATGTGGTGTGCAGAGTCAGTAGTTACAGCCGAGAGGCTTGGTTACTCTGTAGCATGTGGGATCTTAGTTCCTAAGACAGGAATCAAACCTGTGTCCCCTGCACTGCAAGGCAGATTGTTAACCACTGCACCACCAGGGAAGTCCCAGAAAAATAAGATTTATTTTGTTTTTGCAAAAATGGAATTATTTTTATGGAGAATAGCTAATGGGAATCTAAATCTGTAGATTAAAATCTTCTGACATTGTGACTTCAAGATACAATATTATTTAAAAAAAAAGATACAATATTATTGCCAATTACTAACATGTAGTGATCCTTAGGATAAAATTAGCATTTTTATTTATGAATAAAATTTCTATTACATACCAGATAGATAGCAGGTGTTGTTTTAGATGCTTAGAACACAGCAGTGGACAAAATGGCAAAAAAAAAAAATCTGTCCTCAAAGACTTTATGATTTTAGATTCAGGGTAGGTGGGGATAAAGTCTATAGTGAATGAATAAATATGAATAAAATGTATAGATATTTGATATATTTATATGTCTTGAATTTGGTTTTTGAGATTCTCTAATTCATATGATACATAGCTGTCTCATGCGATTGTTCTCTTAATTATCATCCTGGGGATTCCCTTCATTTTTTTAGGTTAAACCCTGTGTTCCCTGATTTCTATGGCTTCCTGCTCTTGATTTACACATTTGTTTTGGAATCACACTTCCTCTGGCTTTTATGAAAGAGTAATCAGAGACTACATATCTGAAAATACATTTATTCAGTCTTTACACTTGGTTGACTGTTTGATAGAATTCAGTACATAAATATTTATTTATATATTCTTGTTTCTCTCTTCAGTGTTTCATGCTGCATTGTTTGCTGAATCTTACTTTACTGAGCAGGGGTTGAACCTGTTGTTGGGAGTGAAAGCATGGTGTCTTAACCACTGTAACTGCTGGCCTGCCAGGGGATTCCCCAGTATTCCCATTCTTAATTGTGCATGTTGTTTTAGAGAACAGAGATTTTCCCCTCCAGAGAATAGTCAAGCAACCTTCTGCTGGAATGATGGGACAAATTTTTTAAACCAGCTGTAGTGGCATAGGGGTGGGATCTGGGGATCTGTGCACTTTTTTTTTTTTTCATTTAACAGTGTTGTTGAAGGATAATTGACCAAACAAATAAGCTACATGTATTTAAAGTGTACAATTGGATAAGTTTTGACAAATGTATACCCCTGTGAAACCATTACCACAGTCATGGTAGTAACTTTATTCCTCCAAAATTCCTTGTACCTCTTTATAAACTCTGGTTCTGCTTCTTCCAACACTTCCCTCTCCAGGCAACCCCTAATCTGCTTTCTGTCATAGATAGATTTGCCTTTCCTACTGTTGAATATAATTGGAATCTGGCCTGGGCTCCATCGCTGGGTTGGGAAGATCCCCTGGAGGAGGGCATGGTAACCCATTCCAGTGTTCTTGCCCAGAGAGTCTCATGGACTGAGGAGCCTGGCAGGCTGCAGTCCATGGGGCCACAAAGGATTGGGCACAACTGAGTGACTAAGCACAGCACACACGTTTTATGTTTGATCTCTTTTACTCAGCAGAATTATTTTACAGTTCATTCATGTATGGATAGTTCTTTCCTTTTTAATTGCTGAGTAGTATTCCATTGTATGTATATGCCACAGTTTGTTTTTCCATTCAGCTATTTATGGTCATTTCGTTTGCTTCTTTTTTTTTTTTTTTGGATTGGCATATAGCCAGTTAACAGTGTTGTGGTAGTTTCAGGTGAACATTAAAGAGATTCAGCCAAAGAAAGATACACATGTATCATTCTCCTTGGTTTGCTTTCTGGTTTTGACTTTTACAAATCAAGTGGCAATAAATGTTCATTTACAAATCGACATGACATATATTTCCTTTTCTCTTGTGTCTGCCTAAGATAGAATGGAAAATACATGATTCAGTTTTTAATAAATGCCATCTCTTTTCCTAAAGAGATTGTATCACTTTTATTTCTGTCAGTAGTCTTTGAGAGTATTAGTTAATTCACATTCTTGTTAACATGTGATATAGTCAGTCTTTAATTTGAGGTGTTCTCATAGAAGTGTAATAATATTTCATTATGGTTTTATTAGGTTGGGGCAAAAGTAATTGCAGTTTCAGACCGTGATTTTTAAATCATTATAACTAGGCTCAACCACATTTTTATTAATTAAAATAGAAGCCATTACAATCAACACATTTTTGCTAACAAGAAATAAGTTTGTTTATTCCTATAGTGTAAAAATCTGTGCTTCAACAAACTCGTGAAAAGCATTTTCTGCCTTCTGTTGGTTGAGGACGCATTTTCTGTGCAAAAACTTGTCAAGATGTTTGAAGAAGTGGTAGTTGGTTGGCAAGAGGTTAGGTGAATATGGTGGATGAGGCAAAACTTCATAGCCCAGTTCATTCAACTTTTGAAGCATTGGTTGCATGACCTGCAGTCATGCGTTGTCCTGGAAAAGAATTGGACCCATTCGGTTAACCAGTGCCAGCTATAGTCATTGCAGTTTTTGGTGCATCTCATCAAATTGCTGAGCATACTTCTCAGATATACTGGTTTTGTTGGGATTCAGAAAGCTGTAGTGAATCAGACCAGGAGCAGACCACCAAACAGTGACCATGATCTCATTTTGGTGCAAATTTGACTTTGAAAAGTCCTTTGGAGCTTCTCGATCCACCCACTGAGCTGGTCATTGCCAGTTGTATAAAATCTACTTTTTGTTGCACATCGCATTCTGAGAAATGGTTCATTGTTACATAGAATAAGAGAAGACGACACTTCAAAAACAATCATTATTTTGATTTAAGGTCAGTTCATGAGGCACCCACTTACCGAGCTTTTTCACCTTTCCAATTTGCTTCAAATGCCAAACGATTGTAGAATAGTAAACGTTGAATTCTTTAGCAACTTCTCATGTAGTTGTAAGAACATCAGCTTTGATGATTGCTCTCGATTGTTGTCACCTTCCAGTGGCCGGCCACTATGATCCTCATCTTCAAAGCTCTCGTCTCCTTTGCAAAACTTCTTGAACCACTGCTGCTCAGTACATTTCTTAGCAGTTCCTGGGCCAAATGCATTGTTGATTTTACAAGTTGTCTGGTGCTTTATGACACGACCCATTTTGAACTTGAATAAAAAAATCACTCAAATTTGCTTTTTGTCTGACATCATTTCTTTAGTCTAAAATAAATATAAAATAAACTGCAATAAGTCATTAGCAAAAAAAAAAAGGAATAAAGTGAGAAATGAGCATTAAAGTGATGTGTAGCATAATGACATTTATTTAAGAATGAATGTATTCTAATATCAGATGATAAAGTTTAACAGTGCAAAATCACAATTACTTTTGTACCAACCTAATTTACATTTGCCTTGTGACTAATGATGCTAAGGATCCTTTCTTGAATTTATGTGTCATCCATGTATCTTCTTTGTTGAGGTATCTGTTCAGATCTTTTTGTTATTCAGATCTTTTGGCCATCATTTTATAGCCTTGTTTGTTTTCTTACTGAGTTTTGAGAGCTCTTTGTGTAGAAAACTGGATATAAGTTCTTTATTAGGTGCTTTGCAAAGATTTCCTTCAAGTCTATGGCTGTCTTTTCACTCTCTTAGAAGTGTCTTTTGAAAGGAAGTTTTAAATTTTAATGAAATGTAATTTATCAGTTTGTTCTTCTGCTGTCATAGCTAAGAAATCTTTACTTAACCTAAATCACAAATATTTTCTACTATGTTTTCTTCCAGAAGTTTTATAGTTTTAGGCTTTATATTTAGGACTATGATCCATTTTGATCTATTTTTGATGTATGAGGTATGGATCCAAGGTAGTCTTTTTGTTTTAATTTGTATATATATGTGACTGTCCAGTTATTCTCGCACCATTTGTTGAAGGCCAGACTTTCTTCACTGAATTGCCTTTGCATCTTTTTCAAAAATTAGTCCATATATATGTTGCCTACTGATTTGTTTTATGCCACTACTGCACTGGTTTGATTACTGTTGCTTTTTATAATAAAATCAACCCTGAATATTCTTTGGAAGGACTGGTGCTGAAGCTGAAGCTCCAATATTTTGGCCAGCTGCTGTGAAGTGTCAACTCATTGAAAGAGACCCTGATGCTGGGAAAGAGTGTGAGCGGAAGGAGAAAAAGGTGACAGGATGAGATGATTGGATGGTATCCCTGACTTGATGGAGTTGAGTTTGAGCAAACTCTGGGAGATAGTGAGAAACAGGGAAGCCTGGTGTGCTAACAGTCCATGGGCTTGCAGGGTCAGATATGACTTAGTGACTGAACCACAACAAAAAGTGTTAACTCTAACTTTGCTCTTCCCTTTTTTAGAAAATTTTTTTTTAACCTTCATATGAACTTTAGATTCAACTTTACAAAGAGATTAATATTTCCACTGAAAAAAATTCTTTTTCTTTAACATTAATTTTTTTTAGCTGCTTTGAGTCATAGTTGTGGCAGGTGTGCTCAGTAGTTGTGGTGTGCGGGCTTATGGCATGTGGGATCCTAGTTCCCTGACGAAGGTTAGAACTTGAGCCTCCTTTATTGGCAGGCAGATTCTTAACCCCTGGACGACCAGGAAGTCCCATGTTTTGGGGTTTGGTTGGAATTACATTGGATCTATATAGCAACTTGGGGAGATGTGACATTTTAACAATACTGAGTCTATTTCA